CTCTATATACTGATTACTATAAAAACCTTATCAACTTCTAACTTGTAGAAAAATATTGATCTTCAGCTTGCAAAAAGCATTAGAGTTTTATGTTAGCAATCCAATTGTGAGCTTCCAACCACATTCTTTAATTCTAAACTATTTTCATTTCTGTTCCTGTCAGATTTTCTTCACGAAAACCTCAAGTGACTACCTCTATCCTTTACAACAATCCATCATTGTCAGCCAATAATCTTGATTTATTCCAAACAATTTATACCATGTGACCAATAATTTATTAGGATATAACATTAAGTTTTATCATATTCTCATCATTAACAGAGCCTGTATGGCATAACTTAAGTTTACACCAGTGGTATGTTAGGCTGAATAACAACAATAGCATAAAGCCTCGGACAGATTAAGTGCATTTTTTTGCCCAATTGCGCCGATTTTTAAAATCACTCAAAAAAACGTCTGTGTGCTCATTCACGGTGACGAAAATTCTGCTAGGCGAACTATTTGCCTGATCGATTGCCAGTATCTAGCATGTTAGATATTTTCGGCCTAACATTTTACAACAGCGAACAGTTCATCGGAAAATCCGCGTATATTGTTGAGGGAAACATTTTTATAAGCCAATCGGAGATATCATCGATATTATATGACCTCAAAATGGCTTTCACATAATCAACGTAATTTACTCGCAGAGTGGCGTACGCTCTCGAGACGATCACTACGTGTGCCCATTTGTGATCGGCCATAGAAAAATTCGCTGCGAATTTCAATCAGCGCAATCAGGTGATGAAATATGGTCATCTGTTCCAGGCTTTACACAAATGCATTGTCTGGAAATAGTCAATAAAAAATAAAATACTTCTATTATTTAATAACTGGAACTAATAAATACTACATCTTATATTGATCATTGTTAAATAGAGAAAATCTCATGGCAGTAGAACATGTGTAAAGGCCAATAAACTTAGCAATAAAATAGAGGAATTTACTGATACATCCCTGGGCTAGTATTGATTTTAGCTCCAATTTAACCATCTTATTCCATCCAACATTCTTCTTGAAACATTTTCCACTAAAATTAATTTATATTCGATGCATTCAACATGTATTGGAATTCACTTGGGTAAATTTCAAGTTCTTTACAGTTTTTGTATCAACTCTGTAGACATCTTATGAATTTTAAAGGAATTTAATTGATCTTTAGGGTATTATTTCATACATGTTCAACACTTCCATATGCCGTATTTTAAGGTGTATAAGTCGATGTGGAGTATAAGTCGAATGTTCATATTCTACTATTTTTCCAAAACTCTATCCATATACAAGTTGAAGCGGTGTATAAGACAAATGTTTTTCAACTTCACCATAGCAATCTTTTATCCAAATACAGGGGTTTTATTCTGGTCTAATAGTAATACTGTGATAAAATAAATAGTTTATAAATGCAGGACAAACTTGAGTAATATACAAAGTTTTGTTTTTGGTTCATTTGAACAACTTTTACTTCAATATATCCGATAAATACTAGCATAGACAATACGCACAGTGTTAGTGATCGCGCATGGTAATATCATTACAATAAATGTTACTAAAATTATAATAAAATTGATGGTGTCAATGTATGATTAGTCAATTTAACTGAAAGCTAAAGTAGAGCTCTTGCGAGACATGAGAAATTAGGAGAGATGGCAACATAAAAATTTCAACAGGAATAATGTCTGAAGAAGGATTCTATTTTGATGGAATTTTCTAGTGTTTAACTTTATGATTATATTTTGAATGTTGGGTGTATGTGTGTGATGTTTTTAAATAAAAGTTATACAAGATGTATTTGTATTGGAATAACATAAGTAGTTTTAGACAATAGCAAAAGTTTGACATTACCATATTTTGGGAGTGTAATTTTTTTATATTTTTTATCTTCATCCATATACATGTACATACGTCGAGGTGGAGTATAAAACGAAGGCCTGACTTCACTGGAAAAAAGTTTCAACTTATACCCCATAAAATACAGTACACAATGTACTGTAGGCGTTAAATGTTTATCCTAAAATTTCAAATAAATAATGTAAGTTAAATAGGCTGATTTCTTTAAGAGTAACAGTTCTGTACCTACATGTACATGTATGCTATACAGTTGAGCCAGATATCCCAGACTGCTATTACATCTAAGACTGGTCTTGATTTTTGACATAATTTAGCCTGTTATTGAAAATTCATGCACATGTGTTTATACATGTACTTGTAATTTATCTATGACCTGATCATTTATATTAATTCAATAAACAACATTTTCACCCTCATAGATATCCTTTGATTTTGTTTATTTTTTTGATGAGATACAAGTTATGTGTTTATGATATAACTAGCAGGATACCCGGCTTCGCTCGGGGGTCATAACTCCGAAACCGGAAGTGGTAGACTAACGCCACCTGGCCTATGCTACTCCTCGGTCCGAGCTACCCCAATACCCCAAATTTCAGACTCGGGGCAGACCTAGTGTAGCCGCCAACCCCGAACAGACAGGCTTCGCTTGGGGGTCATAACTCCGAAACCGGAAGTTGTAGACTAACGCCATCTGGCCTATGTTATTCCCCGGTCCGAGCTACCCCTATACATCAAATTCCAGACTCGGGGCAGACCTAGTGTAGCCGCCAACCCCGAACAGACAGACAGACAGACAAACGACAGTCACAAATATACATATAGATATCACAAGTTTAATTGTCACACATTTTCTGTTGATTTGATACTATAACAAAACAAGCAGTTTTCATGCAAGATACGACCATATTTTGCAAGAGATGGACATAGAATAAGCTAAACAGAAATGCGATTTTTTGTACAATACAGTATGGGGCCTTCATCCAGGAAGTTAGCGTCCGATTAGCGCAATTATAGAAAAGATCCCAGATCTTTGGGATATACACACATATATTAAGTTCCATCAAAATCAAATAAAAATTGGTATTACGTACTACATACACTACATGTATTTGCTTACGGGGAGCGGCCATTTTGCCGAGTAGTTTCAGTCGGATTTACACGAAATTCAAACTCAATTGTCAATATGGTTTAACAGTGATAATATATTCAAACATTTTTTTAAATGGAATAAAAATTGTGACCTCTAGAGTGTCCACAAGCTAAAAATGTGATTTTCCATACAATCAGGGGCCATAATCCATGAAAATCAGCTGATATGTGCGATTATTGAAAGGAACCGATATCCAAAATTCAAATTCAACCGTCATTATGGTGTAACAGTGATATATTTGAGCAGTTTTTAATATCAGATAAAATTTGTGACCTCTAGAGGTACCACAAGCTAAAAACGTAATTTTTCGTAAAATCGGTGGCCATAAACCAGGTAGTTGAGGAATGATATTCGCGAATATGGAAAGGTACCCTCGGGTTACAAACATTCCTTTTAAGTTTCATCAAAATAGGATAAAAAATGTGACCTCTAGAGTGTCCACAAGCTAAAAATGGGATTTTTTTAAATACACTCCGGGGTCATAATCCATGAAGTTACAGTCCAATACATGCCCATAATGTAGGAACCCAATATCTTTTCGAGATAAACCTTAGGGTTACAAACATTCCTTTTAAGGTTCATCAAAATAGGATACAAAATGTGACCTCTAGAGTGTCCACAAGCTAAAAACAGGATTTTTCTTAAATACACTCCAGGGTCATAATCCATGAAGTTACAGTCCAATACTTGCCCATAACGTAGGAACCCAATATCTTTTCGAGATAAACCTATAATTTCAAGTTTTGTCAATATCGGAATAAATAAATTGTGGACAGACGGATGGACAGGGGCAACAACAATATACGTCCACATCAAAATGTGGGCGTATAAAAATCTAACAATGATATTTTCCTGAGGGATATTTATACAGGTACTGGGTCTCCTAGAGACTATTAAAAAGCTGTTTTGTTGAAGATTATTCAGCCCAGAGAAAGAGAATAATCTGTTGAGAAGTATGACAGTAGGATTTACTAATAGATCTTGATGCCATCCACAGATTGACATTTGTATCCCTTCTCTGATAGGCAGTCAGAACACAAGACATACTTAATACATGAACATTGGAATCAGGCATCTGTTATTGGTAACTAGTAATCAAGCAGGCAATACACTACATTTAATAAGGTTATTCTTTAAACCACTGTAATCATCAGTAATCTTTGAGCTAGAGATGTGAGAATCTATACAGGGTCTTGACACTTGACCTCACTTTACACTTTAAAGAAGATGTTCTAGAAATATTCCAGTGAATAAAATTGGTAAGCGCTCAGTATTTCTTTGAGAAACAGATTTAGGCAATAACTTTTCCCTTGTCGGGATTCTTTTTTACTAGTTTTTATTTTTCATTTTGTCCATCTATTCCAGTCCAAAGCACTTGCTCACTCAATTATCAATCGAGTTATCAATAATAGGGTTATTTAATGTCTATTAATTAATCTGGGATTAGTGCTGATTAGTGTTTACGGTGAAAGAGCAATAATAACCTAATTCAGAACAAAAGATTTAATTATTTATCTTCCAATAGGTATCTATTCCTGGGTTTTCCGAAACACAGCCATCATCAACTCATATCATGCCATGGGTCATAATTGGAAAAATTCAAAATGAGCTTTGGCATCCAATAATAACAGATAGTCATGTACCTGCCAAATTTTCTTTTAGGAAAAGGAACAAGTTGGAGTACTCTTTGAAAGGGTAGATCTAGGTATTTTGAAAGATAATTCAAAATTTTCCAATCCTCGCGAAAGCTTTGAAAAATAGCTATGTAAAACCAGAAGAATAATTTTGTAACTATTGTATAACATGTACATGTATATTATATATTTATTTTGTAAAAAAGAAATTATGAATTTTTAATTGAATTAGTGGAATAAGATATATGGTATGAAATTAAAATTACAATTGGGAAGGGAAAAAATGAAACTAAAAATGCGCACTGATTAAAATGTACAAATGAACTTACCAATATTTGAATGTTTCAACAACCTACATATCCTAGCTTCTCTTTCTAATTTCTGGTGGTCTGCAAAAATATGAGAATAAAATTGTTTATAATACATGTAGCAATCACTAACAGATGTAAAATCATCATATTGCCATAAGAAAACTATCATACCTTTTTTTTTTTTAAACATGTAAGTAATATTGCTTTTATCCTAAAATGACATTTAGAAGTAGAGGTACATATAAATGTTTAATACTTTACAGGTAACAAAACATATATCCACAGCAACAAAGTCGTCGAAACAGTCTATAAATGTCACAGTTTTAATTCTTTTGTGTAGGTAATGGGAGCATCTACTTGATACTAAAAAGTTACTGTAAGTAACAACCCATGAAGTAATTATCAGGAATAGTTTGTATTAATTTAAATCATTAGACTTCTTATCACATGAACATAACCACTGTTAAAATCAGATAATACATGTAACTTTTTTCTCCAGAATCCAGAGTATCAACAAGACTTTTGTAAGTTTCAAGGACTTTAACTCTGACAGTAATTAGGCCAAAAAAAAAGGGTTGTTTCCTGTAACGGATGGAAAATAGGGTAGGGTCGGTAGGTAGGGTTTTTTTTTTTTTATACATTGTTAGATCTAGTACTATAGTAGATGTACCGTAGCATAATATTCTGTGCGAAAATCGGCGCCGAGGAACATGAAGCACGAATAGATTGGTGGATGGAATTATTGGATAATTGTTTAAAATGTATCAGAAGCTAGATTATGATTTAAATATTCTCTTCGGGGGCAAATGGATTTTTAATCGTTCTATGCTAAAAAAAAAGAAAAAAAAGCGTAGGGAGGCCATTTTGTTCAAGGGAAAGAACTCGCGATGAAAACTTAAAAAATCATATCGAGCCGTCGCACGAAATAGGTCCGTAATAATTTTATTTGCCTTGTTTTAAATACCAATTGAGCAGATCCTATCCACCCATTTGAAATATACATTAGCTTGTTTTTGTCAAATTGCGTGCTGTTACTTATTAGAACGAAGTTTGTGAGGATTATGGCTTTTCGGAATGTGTAGTGTTTAATCTATACGAAACCTGTAGTCTCGATTTTCACGTCAGTTAGCAATCTCGCGTCAACAGTATGGCAGTTCTTAATAATCGTTCGCTGTACAGTACCCACCTATTCCGATCGGTAAATGCAGATTCAAAGAACGATGACATTGATATTCATTTATAGCAACAAATAATAAAGCCATTTTCACCAATCCGGTAGGCTTAGAGTATTTCTAATTTTTAACGGTCGCTCGTTGAACAAAAAAAGGTTTTTTTATTTCCCTTGACACTAAAAAAAAATTGAGTCGGCAGGTTTTGTAATGGGTTGGCCGGGTTACCGGAAACAGAACATTTTTTTATTTTGGCCTTTTCAGAAAGTTAAAATTTGCATAAATTTATTAAGCTTCTTCATCACATGAACATTGAACACTGTGTATAAATATCCAGAGCAACCACAAGATTTTTCTACAACAGAAAAGGTTATATGACAGTAATTATCAGAAATAGTACTAATTTGCATAAATTTCAATCCTATTCTTCTAATGAATTTTGAGAACAATAACCCAAGACCCGCAACATATTTTAAAATGATCATGGGCCATAAATCCGATATTAATTATCAGAAAATCAGTATGATTCTTTATCTCATGAACATAAACACAGCAAATAAATATGTCAACAAACTTTATCCTCTGTAGCATCCATTATGACAAGTCGACCAACGGACATAGAGAGGGGTGGAAACAATAGACAACCACATTTCAATGAGGACGTTTACAGAGAAACTTTATGAATTGACCATATTTATTTCATTAAATTTTTCAATACTTTCGCAGGTATCTTTTTCAAGAAGTAATCCTGGAAAGTCAGCACTGTCAATCACACACAATATATGCCTGCCACCAATACAGAAATTATTTCTCCAAATTTATAAATAAGAAGCTGTGAACATGCTTAATATATGTAACCGATTATGACCTATTGTACTATTATCATCCTATCATAAACAATGATTTGAGATATTGAAAACAAGGTACAGATCCTTTCCATCTTGTATTTAAAACCAGAAATTCAGAATATTGATATGCTACTTTAAATAGAAAGTATGCACAAAGAATGAATAACATTGACTTCAGACATTCTGCTATCAGATGGCTGACAAAGGAAAGTCATTAAATAGGTAAGATAGCTACAATATACTAGATGGATCTGATTGAGTCAGATGACCTGAGCTAGATCAATAAGCTGAACAACACACTAATGATAAATTATATATTTCCACGGGCACCCAAACAGATCACCATCATATTATTTTCCAATCAAAGTTCTCTATATTACAATAGAACTATCATACAAGTACACTATCCATCAATAGTAATACAGTAGAAATTACTAATGAAATAAAATAAAACTGGACATTTACATGTACATAAATAATTGCTTAGCCTATGTAGACTTGCTGTCAGGATACATGTATGGTACATACATGTATAATGTTATACAGTGTATAGGGTCAGGCTATGTGAATTAATGTCAAATAAAATATTTCAAAAGAACAAAATTTATATCAGGTTATCGGATGCCTTGACTATATGAATACAACAGTACATTTCTGAATGTTTAAGACTATATTTTGATACTTGGGTGCAATTTGTTTCTCTAAATGTAAAAATATTGATTTTTGAAACAAAAATATAAACAAAACTTGAGGTCTATGATTGGACTATTGCCAAGCCAATTCTTTCATTTTGTTGATAAACTGTACCACTTCAATCAATGTAATATATTGATTTATTTACTGAATTACATACACTTCATTCAATATTTAAAAATACCCATTACACAAATTACATTTTGATGATAAATTTGAACTAAATCTGCTTTTGATGAGTACTAAAATCATGTTTGTCCTGATAGCCCACCAATACAAAGCAGTTTAACATTTCAGTAGCATACAATAACCAAGCATAAACATAGACACATTGCCAGGCATGAGAACGTTTGCCTTCAATCAATAATAAGCCAATCTTCAACAAGTTAGTTTAGCTAGCATAAAAGTCTGGATGATTATCCTGAGTACTGCATCAGCCAATATCCTCACCGTTAGCACTAGTATCCTTCTGCTTCCTGTGTAAATGACACAAAGATTGTAAGAGAAAGTGTTAGGTGCAAAAACAACCATCTACAAATTAGGTCAGCACATAAAAATACTTCTACTCTTGACTCTATTGTCTTTGCAAGTTGTTCAAGTTTTTGGACAACATGGTTATCAATAGACCCAAACTGTGCAATCCACCTTAGCCATGACTGGGAAACTAGTAGAAAATATACAGCCTCCTTGGGCTATTTGCAAGGACATGTAGATGCATTACAAATTCAAATAATTTAATAAATCAAATTACAAAAGTCTTGTCCCACAATTCATTTTGTTGACAAATGCTGAGATGTTGATTACAAAAGTATTACTGATATTAAAGTTAAACAAAGATTTAGGTTATACCTGTGTCCAGCTAATTATGTCAGCTGTGCTGTAAACAAGGCTTTGTACTGGGAAAAATGTTTCAGATGCATTTACATGTATGGCACAATAGTTTGCATTCATTGGATGGATGTATAGCAGGGATGTCACCAACATTTCAAGTAACAGGAAATTTTGTTAAAGGGCAAGCAAATGATGACGTCCGCAGGATGACCATAAGGTTAAAAAACATTTATGGAGGTATACAAATTGAATTTTGATTACCCAACCCAATTTCATACCTAAGTAAAACTGTATCCAATAAGAATAGAATATTAAATCTTTGAATTTGTAGGATAATGTGTAAATAAGATACATGTAACTAATGAAATCAGGTCACACCTGACAGAAAACAAATGACAGGTCAAACTTACTGTGGTTGTTACTGTCAACCTGGACCATTTTATTGAAGCTTTACAGAAATTAATTCTTTCTTACATGTAATATGCTAAAAGAAAGTTCTAGCATACATTTATATGTACATGTAGTGTAGAATTGTTATGTTAAATCTATTTCTATCTAACAACATGTAGATTTTAATTATGACTGGTTGAGGCACTATGATAGTTTCATATCTAAGTAAGATTAAATCCTAATTTAGATTCGGAGGCAGTATTAAGAACTTATCCTTATTCCATTAAAATAATCCTTGAAATCTTTCCAAGCTAAATCTTTACTCGAACACAAGAAATATTTACTATAACAACACATTTAGAAATGAAATTAAATGGGGCTTTGCATCCTACTTTTCTGTACCAATTGGGCTATGAAGACGGACATGTGTCATACAGTGTGCTGTGAGGAAAATTTTGCCCTGACAGTGGCACTATGACATACTCTTATTTTGAATTCCAACTGTCCAAGGGTTCTTTTACGTGCATATCAGTAGGCTTCTTCATTTTACTACATGAAATTGAAATAAAGCATATAAATTACATACAAGTCGGATAATAATTTTTTTGAAATAACTACATAATAACAAGAAAATCTTTCGAATGTGAATAAAGTATCACAATTTGCACAAACACACATTAATACATGTAGTGCTCCTACGGATAGCTGTAAACAGTTCGAATTGGAGGGTTAAACGGTTCGAATTGAACGTTACGGTTATTCGAAGATGTCCCCCATTACATACAGTTATGTCCCATTATATTCCTCTTTATAACAAAAGAGAGAGAGAGAGAGAAATGGGGTTTAACTTCCACTCGACACATACTAGGTCATTTCGGTACTAACATACGGTTTAATTTTATTTCAATAATTCGCTTACGCGTAGGGGTCTTTAGCAGGAGGAAACCGGAGGACCCGGAGAAAACACACGAGGTTGGACAGGCGACCCTACTACCTTGTCACGTACAACCGGGGATTGAAACCACGCCAGTTGACTCAATGACAGGCCTTATGATACAGCACGCAAGTGCTAACCATTCGACCATCCAACCCCCCCTTATAACAAAAGATGTGCATTCTCCTTTTGTATTTGATGTTTGAAAATCTT